GAAGAGAGAGAGAGAGAGAGAGAGAGAGAGAGAGAGAGAGAGAGAGAGAGAGAGCATAGAACCGCTCCACTTGGGTCCTGTGAATGAGAATGGAGGCAGGGCCGGCTAACTGTATTTCTCTCCGGTGAAGCCTAGCCAGCAAGCACATGGCTTTGCAAGGTCTAGGGACCGCGGAGTTTTGCAATGCCCTGTCCAGATGTCAGGTTCGAAAGGGCTTATTGATCACAGGCCTGACGGATCAGTTAACAACCCCTTCCCTTTTTGAGACAGAAATTTGACAGGGAGCCCTGGGGAGGGCTGCGTTATCTTCTTATCACGGGGTCTTGTGGAACTCAGTAGCCTTGTTATTGGTTTAGACTGGAGTGGGTCTAACCCAGAAAACCACATTCCTACTGCTGAGATTAAATTACATAGCATTGGAGAAAGAAAGAAATAAAAAGTTGGGTAAATATCATGACTTACCCCCGGTGTGTGTTTTGCAGGTGCGCATGTGTTGTTAAGGTTGTCACTTTCTCCTCTCTGCCTGGGCAGCTCCTGACAATGGATCCAGACCCTTTCCGTACATATTTTTCTTTCCCAATGTTGCATTCACTTAGTTGTGTATATATATCTAGATAGATAGATAGATAGATAGATAGATAGATAGATAGATAGATAGATAGATAGATTTTGTAGATGAATGTTTTCTGGTATTCTGTCACTTCAGGGTAAGACATAGCAACTTTGGATGCAAGTATGTGGGGCAATATTCTGAACCAAAATAAATGTTATGGATCTGGCCAGCATTCTTGATATTCTTTTAAAACGGAGGTGGGAGTGTATCTGACAGCTTCAGTTTTGCAAATTGTAACCACAAATCTGGTGCAGGAGTTTGCAGAGGCAAAAATATTTTATCATGACTTGGATCAGAAAGAATGCTGAGATCTTTTTTCTAATCTCACACTGCTGCCTCCCACAGAAATGGGGAAATTTGCATAATTCTGGGGGCCGCCTCCCCTCATTGGTAAGGAATGTGGGCTGGGAAGGTGCCATTCCCAGGCTGGTAGGCAAGGTGAGAAGAGGCTCCCGATTTGTGAGTGTCACTTGAGGTTTTCACCATCTTTTACTTAGAACAAATAGGGGATCATCCCAGGCCCAGAACCTCTCTAGACAGATGGAACTGGAAAAGAATCTTTTCTAGCTTGACATGGTGGTAAATTCTGTTTGCTGCCACCAAGAAACCAGTTTTAAGAGGATGGAGTGGGCCAATGACAGTAAGCCCATGGCTTCATTCTGTTCCTTATTAAAGATTTCCCCTTAAAAACCTTTGTGTTTCTGAGCAGTGATGTTGGTGAAATTGTGCCCACTGTCAGAGGTTCAGAGCCTTGGATAGGAGGGAAGAGTGCTTATAAACTGGTGAGAGGTTCTGAAAGAAGCTTGGTGCGTGACCCAGGCCCTGCCAAAAGTCCCATGGCTGGAGTGGGCCCTCCACTACAAAGGCGGGGGGACCTCTGACACCAAGCAACCATGGCAAGTATGTGCTGTTAGTTGCCTGCGAGGAAACGAGATGTGGCCACCCAAAACTGCGTCTTTGTGAATCTGTGGTAGCCTTGGGGAAGCGGTTGGATGCCCACTTCCCCCAAAAGCCCAGCCTCATATGAGGAGCTGCAGGAATGTGAGGTGCCCACATTGACCTGGTTTCCAAGCTCTCTTCCTCCAGCCCACCGAGGGGCGCCAGAGCCTCTGCCTGCAGTTGGGAGGAGTGGGGGTGGGGGCTGTTTTTTTCTGTGACTGAGAAAGCAGCCTTCATTGGCTCCCTGGGCAAGAACCTACTCCCCGCCTCCAGGGAGGGATATGGAAACTTGCCCTAACGAACACCAAAATACTTCCTCCACCTTTCCCCGGTCCAGAATTTAGCAGCAGAACTTAAACTCTTTGTGGCCAAAGGATATAGGAAAAAGAAAGAGCATTGCTGTCCTCCTCTGCTTGTTCAAGCTTAACCACTTCTTCTGGGGATGTTGGCAAGGGATGAACATGCTACTTGGGCATATTTAGGAAAAGAACTAACCTGCAGTCATCTTAAAGAGAGGGGTGTATGCAGTCCTAACAACAGCTGCTGAAAGACAAATATTCTTTTTTAATTCAGCGTTCATTTTGCTTAAAGATGCAGTAAGCTTCAGGGTTAACTTTGGAGGGAAAGGAGACGGATTTAGCCTCAGCCCTTGTTGAGTAAGCACCCCTGTCTGTGAGTTTGGAAGATGAGAAAGATAGCACTTCCCACAAAGTTTCTGGAATCATCTTTGGGGCATCTGGCTCATTCTACCTGGTTAGTCCTGTTGGTAGTTTGGAGAGTATCAAAGTAAATTCTCACGGGAAGAAAGTAGAGAGTAAACCCTAGGGCAAAACCCTCCCTATTTAATGAGAATATGTTCACCTTAGGTTCTTAAGGGCCATTTTCTTGTGAACAGCTCCTCCTGAGGAAGTCAGGTTATTTAAATAAGGAAAGAAGAGCAAAGAGCAGGGAACAGATAGTGGCAAGGGATTCCACATGACGAAGGTGCATAATGGCATGGCCAATGAATGGTACGGTGAGGTGAGGAGCTGCCAGCAAAATTGGCTTCTCTTTCCAAACCACCAAACTCTCTGTTTACGGAAAAGTCTTAGTTTATGGGGTTGCCATTGTTTTCCCATCTATATAGGGATGAAGCTACCTGACAAGGTATTATTCAGATTAATTGGTTAATATCTGTAATCCCCAGAGCTCCTCCTCAATGATGAATTACTAAATTCTGTGATGAACACTGTGCTTTCGGTTTTGCCCTCAGAGGAACTAGCTTGCTGCCAGCTGACGGCCTTACCTCCAGGGTTATCATAGGGAAAATAACTGTGTGTTCCTCTCCTCTCACTCGTACCCCAGCCTGCCACCCCTAGACCACAGCATGGTGGTGCTCATGCGTTTCTCTTTCTGTTTTCCCCTTGGCCCGAAGCTCCAGCTTTCTTGACCTCACTGAGCACTGGGTTGAATGATGTCTGTGAAGCAGGGGAAGGAGGGAGGCAAATTCCCAGGATGTCAGACCTCCTGACAAGGGTCCCCTGGGGGGCAGGCCAGCACCACACCTCTACCCTTTGTGACCCCCTCTATCTCTGCCTGGTCACAAATATGGATCACAGTGCTGATTTCAGGGCCCAGGCTTACCTCCCCCCCTCACATAGTTCTTGGTTAAAAATTGCAGCTTAACCCCCAGAATCCATTTTTATTGGCCGTGCTACTTCTTAGCTCTTGTTTCTCTGGGGCAGAGTCCCAGGCTCTAGACCCCTAGTGTCAGGGAATGCATGGATAAGACACAGGCTCCTTGTCTATGTGATTTTTTTCCTGTTAACTCTCCCCAAGCCTCTTAAGTGCTCATGATTTACAGGGACTGGAATGTCTTTTGTGCTCTTTACTCATGGAACAGAGTTGTGTTTAGTTTTTACAGCTTATGATAAGACCACACCAGGAGAGAGTGAATAAGAGGCGTATGAGAAATGGGATACTAATCTTCACCTTTTTTTTCCCCTCCTCTTTTCTTCCCCCACCCTTCTACTCCCCAATCAAATTATTAGACTCTAATTGATAATGTGCCTGCCCTCTGTCTGGGAGATCTCTGATTGGTCAAGTGTTCTGCCTTTTCAGGAAAGTGCCCCGTGACCCTCATCTGTCTCCCCCAAGACCACACCTAAGAGCTGGGTGCAAGATGAACCAGTGCCCTGTTGGCCCAAGATGCACCAGGCCATCCGACTGAACCCCGAGAGCCTGAAAATGTCTGCGTGCAGTGACTTTGTGGAGCACATCTGGAAGCCTGGGTCCTGTAAGAACTGCTTCTGCTTGAGGAGCGACCACCAGCTGTTGCCCGGCCATCCCCAGCCCCGAGCAGGCAGCCTGCCCCCTCCCCCTCGCCTGCCCCCCAGGCCTGACTACTGCCGCCTGGAAGATGAAGGTGTGAACAGCTCTCCCTACTCTAAGCCCACCATCGCAGTGAAGCCCACCATGCTGAGCTCCGATGCCTCTGATGTGTGGACAGAGGCGAACATGAGTGCCGACGTCTCAAAGGTGAGCCTGACTAACCCCTGTGGTATTTTTACAGGGGCTGCTCCTGTTGTAACACTTGGTGACTGGCTGGCAGCCAGAGAGGGCTGTTAGAGCAGGATTCCTGCAGGATGGCTGCCTGTCAGCTTGCCCCAGGACCGCTTCTGCCTGATTGCTGCCCTCCTTTCTATCTGTTCCTTTAGGCTAAGAACTATTAATCCAGTCCCTTGAAGTTTATTTGGAGACTCTGTTAATTATTTATTTGGATAAATACAAGGGCACACAAAATGAAGGTTTTCCAAAAAGGTTTTTAAGATTTTAAAAATAATTTTAAATGTATGCACAAGTAGCAATAATGCACGACGAATTCCACGTGTCCACCACCCTTCAACATGAGAGTCAACAGTCATCAACTCATGACCAATCTTGTTTGATCTCTACCCCGACCCTCTCTTCCCCATGATTTTAAAGCAAACCCAGACATTGTATCATTTCAGTACATGTCTTTAAAACATAAAGTCTTTTAAAATATATAACCACTATACCATTATCACACGTAAAAATATTGGAAAAATTCCTTGATATCATCCAATTCCCAGCCAGTATTCATATTTCTAATTATGAAGCTTGGATTTTACCAGCTTTGACCTAGGATCACCAAAAACAGCTACATCCCTAGCAAGCAGACTGTTCTGCTCAGCCCACAGGTAATGCTTGCAAAGCCATAATTAGTTAGAGGGCACGGAGAGCCTGCTGCCTCCAGACATGCCTATGAAGTTGTATGTCTAAGACATATTCTAAGAACTGCTTGCGACCTGTTTGACCTCTTTGCCTGTTTTCCCAAACCATCATAGTGAGTGGATCAGGAAGGGTGTGAGCTTATGTGAAATCAGAGGTCACTGTTAAGTCAGGGGAGGCTTAATTGAGGAGAGGGGTGTCTCCTGTGGGTTGCACTGAGCTCCATGTCCCCTCAGGGCTGCTCCATTTTTAGTAAGCTGGTTATGTCCATTCACCAGACCATTCTCACTACCTTCAACCTTCACAGACATAAGCCAGGGACTCTTTCAGTTCAGAATCATCTTGGAAAGGAGCCAGAGGCAAGCCCTAATTTGAGACTGCTTCTAAAAGTGGGGGTAGGGGGAGACTTAGAAGGGGAGGAGAAGGAACAGTGACTTCAGTGATGAGAATGAGCAGTTCACGTCTCTGTGTCGTAGTTCAACTAGGCCAGCCATTTATGCTGGCTTGGACTGAGATCACGCACTGTCTGTAACTGGGAGAAAGGGCAGCTCTTTGGCATGGGAGATCTGGCAGGGAGATCTCTCATCAGGTCAAGTGTTCAGAAACCACCCCTCACCCTCCTGCCTCTGCTCCTACCATCCACCAAGGTGTTATAAAAAGCCTGATGACTTCGGTTTCTTCAGGAAAGTACCATGACACAGTTATCAAGAGACTAACAGACACAAAACAAAAATTGAACAAAACCCAAAACCCTATTTTCAAAGCCCATATGAAAACTCACTCATGTCATCCAGCAGTTTTGAGGCAGAAGGCAAAATGTGGTTTTTTTTTAAGAGTTATTTTCAGGGTAAAAAGTATAATGATTGCACCGTTTCATACACTTGAAACTAAAAAAAAAAAAAAAAGAGTTGTTTTCCCCCTACTTCGCAGACGTACACCAAAAGAATGACGGGCAAGATGGGAAGGACAGCTCAGTGTCTGGGGAGACTCGTGGCTCCACGGGGCCCCAGCAGTGATGAGAGGGCTGTGGGGAGATCCGCACGGCGTCTTCACTGCAGCACAGAAGCCAGTTTACAATGTCGTGGCGCTTCCCTCTCACGTTTTCTCTCTCTGTATTTTTTCTCTGACAAGGTCTAATGCAAGTCTTTTCACCTTGGGTCTGTGTAGGTCATCTGGAGACGGCCCTCCAGCAAGCTCCCCCTTCCGAAGCAGGAAGACGTGCCAATAGTTTACCTGAGCAGCTTCCGTGGCGTTCAGAAGCCTGCCGGGCCCTCTGCCTCCACGGATGGCCACCCTCACTGCCCACCTGCATATGCCATGGTCGGCCTGCACAGCCTGGAGGCCCGGGGGGAACAGAATACCGCCTTCCACCCAGTGAGTTTCCCCGATGAGAAGGCAGGGCGAGAAGATAAACCCACGTTTCCCTACCAAGAGCTGACTTCTGCTCAGGAGAGCTTCCGCCAAAAACTGGCTACCTTTGGTGGGATGACATCTGGCTGTCACAAGGGCCCTGGGTCCTACCCCTCCCCACATCCCCTGCGGGAGTCCCTGCCCTCAGAGGATGACAGTGATCAAAGGTGCTCACCCTCAGGGGACAGCGAAGGGGGAGAATATTGCTCCATTATGGAATGTTGCCCCAGGAGCCCTGCTGCCAAGGACACGTCACAGGCTGAGGGCCCCCCACGGAGACATGGTGGAGGCGACTGCTCTCCAGGGTGCTGGGAACAGGGCATGTGTGTGGGGCCAACTAAGGAAGAGAAGCGGGTTTTGAGTTTCCCAAGAGAGTGCTATAACCAGGGCCTGACAGAGAACCCGCCCCACCTGGGCCCCAACAAGCTGTCCCTCACCTCAGAGGCTGCCAGCTCTTCAGATGGCCTCTCCTGTGGCAGTGCCAGCAGTGGCACCAGCAGCCCCTTCGCCCCCCATCTCGAGAGCGACTACTGCTCCCTCATGAAGGAACCTGTGCCGGGGAAGCAGCAGGACCCTGGCTGCCAAGTGGTGACCTCTGGCAGGTGCCCTCTGCTGACTGGGGAGCCCCAGCCCCCGGCCCATCCCAGAGAGGCTGTGCAACCCGAACCCATCTATGCTGAGAGCACCAAGAGGAAGAAGGCAGTGCCAGTGCCTTCCAGGCCGCAGGCCAAGGCAGAACAGGCAGCGGCCGCTCAGGTACGGACGGCTAATACTTGGGCTCAGAAAACAGCATCTGGCTGGGGCCGGGACAGGGAAGGCTCAGATATGGCCCCCCAGGTGGCAGCCACCATCACAGTCATGGCAGCACACCCAGAAGAGGACCACCGGACAATCTACCTGAGCAGCCCTGACTCGGCAGTGGGGGTGCAGTGGCCACGCCAGCCTGTGAGCCAAGACTCTGAGGCAGGTGACAAGGAGACTTCAGCCGGGCAGGGGATGAGCGCCAGGGAAGGCCGCCGTCCCGGTACCAGCGTGAACGTTCCCAAGGGGAGGCCTGCCATTCCTCCCAAGCTGTCCAGAGGCAGTCCTGGAGGGTCGCCGGTATCACCATCTGCTTCCCCACTGTCTGACCTCAATGAGGGGAGCTCCAGTGACAGCACTGGGCCCCAGCCTTCATCCAGGGGCCCTGCTGACCCCGCTTCCTGCCGGGCCAACGGTGTCACTGACCGCAACTCTGTTAAGTGTCCCCCACCTGCCACCACCGCCTTGGCCTTGGACCAGAGGCGACCTCGGTACCAGACGACAGGGGCCTGGAGTCGTCAGTGCCGGATAGAGGAAGAGGAGGAGGCGGAGCAGGACTTGAGGGAAAGGGAGACGGAAAATGGCACCGCAGACCCCTCAAACTCCTCTACCTGGCACCGTCTCTGCCCGACAGATGGCTCCTCGGGACAGAACAGCAAAACCGGGACCGGGATGAGCAAATCCGCCTCTTTTGCCTTTGAGTTCCCCAAGGACAGAAGTGAGGTTGATACCTTCTCACCTCCTCCACCGCCCCCAAAGTCACGGTGAGTACGAGTGTCTGTGTGTGCCTTGGGCTGGCCTGGCAAGAAGGACACAGGCCTCTCCCAGAAGCACTGGCCTTTGCCACCTGCACAGCAGGCCTTCGGGCCCCGGCTCTGCGACCTGCTCCAGGACCAGTGTCTGCCCACAGGCCCTTGTGCCTTTATGTAAATTCTTTATGTAAGTTGCTGCTCACGTTTGGGAGCAGAGCCCTGCTTGGGACTGGCTATTTGGAACGAATCTTCCCAAGAATATTCTTTTTCTCCCCATCTTTCTGAAGTATCTTCTGTAGGTTTTTTCAAGGGAACCCTGAAATCCTCCATTTATTTAAACATGCAAAAGAAGGAGACTGTGCCCCAGAATTGGGAGAGGCAAAGCGATGGGGAGACAAAGGGGCGATGCCAAAAACTGTTACCACAATGGCAATGAGACCTTGGGGCCAAAAGCAAAATAGTAGGAGGTTCTGCAAGTAGTTGGTAGCTTGGATGTGGATTTTCAAAGAACAAAAAAAAGTAGTTTCATTTCAGCACACTGCACCTCGCAGCTTTCTCCAACACTTCACTGCCGTTCTGCTAGTTTAAAGCACCTTTGAAAGGCCCAAGAAACATAAATGCCTTTTTTAAGGTATTGAGTTGTGCATGGAATTTAAATTCTAGGAGAAAAAAATTTCCCGTTATTAGAGCAAAACTGATTCCTATCAGGGAAAGGAGAAACCTGCTGTTTTTCAAAAAATAATTGCCTTTCTGAACAGACTTTCTCTAGTCATGTCATTTGCAGTGTTTCAGTTTCCGCTCATGGGCCTCCAGGTTGATGTCAGAAGCAGGGAATTGACCACAGACAGCAGCAGCTGTGACACTTGACTTTGAACATCAAGGCATCTGAGGCTGGGAGACGTGCTAATGTGGGCTTTTTTCACGACCATTACTTTGTTCTGGTATCGCCTTGGCCACCTGCCATGCAGAGTAGACAGCCTTCAGATCCCCGGGGGATTGCAGACTCTCTTTGACTACAGTTTTAACTCCCTGAGTGAATGAGGGGTTCAGTAGCTAAGAAGCACACCCATATATATATATATATATATATATATATATATATATATATATATATATATGGCACTTCCTATGCGCCAGGCACAGATCTAAGGGAGTTACTCACAGACATGGTAACTCATTTGATCCTCAGAACAGCTCTAGGAGGTAGGAATTACCATCCCCAACTTACAGATGACAAAACAGAGACAGAGAGAGAGCTGAAGTAACCTGCTGAGGTTGCACAGCTGTACTGGCAACTTGGCTCCCAAGTCTGTGTCCCTAAACATGGAAGGTATATGCAGACGTAGGAGTAAAGGGACATGAGCAGGGCGTGAGAGTAAAATGTAGGCATTGTATCGATCAGCCCCAGGCCTGGGTACGGTAGTAAGAAGCGTAGGCTTTGGCATTCAAAAATCAAGTGCATATTGCGTATCTCTCAACTACTGGCTGAGTGATCTTGAGCAAGTCACTTGGCCGTGACTGAGCTTCCAAGTTACTCTTCTCTAAAACATAATAACAACCTGTTATTGAAAGTCTCAAAGGAGATGAACAAAACTCAACACAGAGCTTAATAGTATATAGGCAAAAGCTGTTGACTTATGGCAGGGACACCCACACCCTGTAGGAATGAACTCGGCCCAATCCCAGAAATACCACCTGAGCCTTGGAGAAGGAACTAAAACTTTTCTTGTTTAAGCATCATAGGGCTCGAGGAAACCCCAGTCGCCATAGCAATTTTTAAATAACAAAAATTCAACCAAGTCAAGTTAAAGATCTAATTGGCTTTATTGAACGATTCACGAATCAGGCATCAGCCCATCTAGTAAATAGAAAGGTGCCCTGAGGAACTCTACAAAATGGAAGGCTCTTATAGGTAGAAACAGGGTGGGACAAGGAAGTTAAAAGAGTGGAGTATTTCACAAGGTCACCTTCCTTTAGGGGAAAACGGGGTGTTATCAGGCAAATTACTTCACGAGGGTCGGCCAGGAAATTCCCGACTGATAGGTTTAAAATTCTGTTCCAGGGAGCCTGAAACTACAGTTAGGTTAGGTATTAGATTAGGTGGGGCTTAGCCAAAGTAACTCCATTTTGGGCCTGTTGTTTCTTTTTAACAGTTCCCCTCTTTTGATCAAACTCTCAGCTTGAGAGATATGATCAAAATTTAGGGCATTAGCACCACTCTTAGCTACCACTCTATAGTTTTTTTAAATTTCTGTTGGTCCTGTTTTTTTGCTGAGTCTCTGTGGTATTCACAGGTTACAACTTTGGGCTTCCAATTTTTTATCTGTCATTCTCTTTGTATCTGTTTTGACATTCCAGTGTTAGGGAGATCATTGCTTAGTAGTTAGCCCCTGTGAAAATGTACTCAAAGTTTTTGAGAGAATACAGTGAACCAAGAAGATTACTGTGATACCTGTAAGTTGGGTAATTCCTAATGTTTCGAGTGCACTGTGAAGCCAGGACTCCCAAGACCTAAAATGATCTAAGAAAGACCCTGTTGAAGGAGTCACCCTTTTATCCCAAGTGGCTTGCTCTGTGATTTTTTTTGGAGCTAAGTTTTAGCTTCCCCAGAAGTGTTAATTCAGGTACATCAGGCAGTGCTGGCCCAGCACCCACACATCCTTGCTTAGCTAAAAGATAACCCTGTTATCAAAAACAACTTTGGCCAGAGTGTTTACAGATTTTTGCTGGGCATCTATAGCTTTAACAGTGGATTCCTGCCATATTTTCAAGAGCTAAGGAGAGACTCCTGATACAGCCTCATTTGTATTCATTCCCAACCAGGTAAGGTAGAGAGCTGCCAAAAGGAGCTAATTTTGAATTACGAATGCTTACTGATAGGTCCTTTCTAGGACAGTTAGGGGCACAGTTAGATAACCTAAGAGGCATTGTCCAGTTATGCTCCAGTCATCTAAGCATTCATAGGTCCAAGGGGAATGATAACCACCACAGACAAAGGTAAATCCTGTCCGGCACAAGCCACTTCCAAGAAGGTGGCATTGTTAATGGATTCATTCCCATGAATTATTACATTTACCCATTCCAGCCGGGGGTCAGTTAGGTTTCTTCCTAGCCTGAAATAAATTGTTTTCTAAATTTCAGGAGTTACCACCCCCACACCCCCAAACCCACCCTTAGCAATGGCCTGGGAGATATAGGTGATGGCATTGTCTTTTACTTTGGCCACTGCCAGAGTAAAGAAAAGAAAGAGAAGAAGGAAGGGTTTCATGTTTAGCTAAAGTAGGAAGCCTTGCTCTGGCATCTTATCAGTGTCAGCTACTTCTTTTCCTAGTCCAGCATTGGCGTAAAATTATAGTCATCCTCCTAAGTTCATTCAGCCCCATATAATTCATTCTTGCTCTTTTTGAAGCTAGGTTTTTTTAAAAATTAGTTTTGGAAATACCCACCCAGCTCTGCTTCATGATCTCAAAGTCATCAGGAATTTGCATTTGTCAAAAGTTCCCTCCGTGAATGTACTTTGAAGATAAAGCACTTAGCAAGGAACACTTTGGTAAAACATCTGAGTAAACCAGTAACTGTAAACGACAAAAGACTTAAAAATGCCCATTGTTAAAGATCTGAGGAAAGTTTATTATAATCGAATTGACAAGGAAATTTGGTCATTCCTGTAACATGCAACATTTTATAACATTATACCAGGACATACCAGACTAGGAATTGCATACAATTTCTAGAACACTTATATACTTAGACTAACGCAACATAAAGAAAGCTTATGGGGGTGACCAGTTAGCTCAGTTGGTTAGAGCGTGGTGCTGATAACACCAAGGTTGCGAATTCGATCCCCACATGGGCCACTGTGAGCTGCACCCTCCTTGAAAGAGTCAGCTCTGCCATTGTAGCATGAAAGCAACGTGTAACCAATGACCATGGCTGTTCCCCAATAACATTTAAAAAAGAAAAGAAAAGAAAGCTTAGTGTTACTTCTTATTTGACAATACTTCCCATGTATTTTAACATATCCAGATAAGCCTAAGTTTAACATCTCCCTTTTTATGAGGAGAGAGAACAAATCTTTTGAGATGTTCTAAGACCCCTCTAGAAAACCCCAAAGTTAGTTCGAGGTAAAAAAGACTGCGTTTAGAATTTGCTTTTGGGAAATTTGTTTAAAATATCAAAAGGATTTTAAAACAGTCAAATAGGATCATAGGTTACTGTGAAACAATACTTAGTTATCCATTCAACCAAAGTGACAATTAAAGATGTCAGGCAAATATAGAAGTTTACATACATAATTCTGAGCAAAACTTAGCTCTTTTAATATCAAGAAGACTAGGTTTATCAAAAAACACATTCTACTTTCCTTGAATACAGAGTTGTTGCCCTTATTAGTTCTAGTAGCTTTAATTATATATATTAGAATTCTTAACCATTAAAAAACCTTTAACTTCTTCTTTTTTAATTGGGGATGGGGGGATGGGAACAGTGCTGGGGAATTGGGGGAAGGGGAACAGACAAGTTGCTGTCGTTTTGTTCTTCAGTCTAGTTGTGGAGAACGTTGCTTCACTGGCCCAAGTTGGCACCATCATTGTGCTCTTCCCGGGTGAGGCAGATCGGTCACCGGACTCTGGATGGCCGCTCACACTGGCTGCTGGCTACTCACGGTAGCCCATGACAACCCACTGCAGCAGGGGCTGCAGTCTACGCCATTGCCAGCAACTCACAGCAGCCCAGCTCCAGGTTGAGCTGTTGTTCAGCATCTTAGCTGTGGAGGGCAGTGTCACTGGCCCTCATATGTGGGATCTGAACCGGGGCCCTCTGGCATCCCAAGCCAATTCTTAACCATCGCGCTACTCATCTGGCCCCCCCAAAACCTTTAACTTCTAGTGAAAACTAAGAAGCAAGCAATTATGAACTTTTTTTTTTTTAATTGGGAAATTGGAGGATAGAACAGTGCTGGGGAATTGGGGGAAGGGGAACCGACAAGTTGCTGTCGTTTTGTTCTTCAGTGT